AGGATGGAACCACGGATCTCCGTATATGATGATAAGGAGAACATTCCTCCATTCTTCTCAGACGTTAAAACCCTAACCTACAATTCGAAGAACAAGCACAGGAAGCCGCTTGAAGACGTTACTCATCTCATCATCTCCAATTCTCCGATTCAATTACCGGAGACTTCTTCATCTTCATCTTCATCTTCATCTTCATCTTCACGTTTGGAGTCGGTTTCTGTTTGTCGATCGGAAGGAGGTAATCGTGTTTCCATGGAGAAGGGGAGTTGCAGGTCGTTAAGGTACTTCAGATGAATATACAAAAGGAAGGATTCATGGTCATATATCTTGCTTCTTTTATTCAGGGCTGAAATGGCTACAGGGAGTTGTTTGTTTGTCTGTCATTTTGTCATTGTTAAAAGATGAATCTTGTTTGGTAAAAAAAATATGTTTTTAAAACTCTCTGAATAATTTTGTATATCGGGATTGGGTCTTCCAAACTATTCAAAATTTTAATTTTATTCTGAACAATTATCAAACAACCATATTTTATTTTACATAATATCTTATAAACCTTTTAATCATTCTGACCACTTAATTATGCGAATCTTATAAACTTATTCAAAATGTACTTGGAGCACTTTTAAGTTCTAACGAATTCTTTAAAATAAATTAAAAACTAAAAATTAAAATCTTTAAAATAAATTAAATTCGAAGTCAATAGCTTTTTTGTTTTGAAAACTAAAATATTAATTATATCATTAATTTTAAATTTTTAATGTTTGATTTTTATTGATAAAAATAATAAAATAATTATTCCATTTTTTCAAGCAATAAATTTTAGAATGTTCTTCAAATTTAAAAAATTAATGTTTCCTATGCTTTTTTCAATTTTAGAGAAATTTTAAAGGAATCTATTTAAAAAAATTAAATTAAAATCTTCATTTTAAAGAATTTATTAAAAATATTCTTATTACCATTTTTAAGCTATTTTATAAATTCTATTAATGTATTAATCATTTATAAAATAATAAATGAAAAATATTATTTTGTCAATTAAATCTTTCCAACTTCAACCATTTTGATATGTATAAAAATTTACTTATCTATATTATATTATAAAATATTTGACAAAAATTCTTAAAAACAACTTTGTTATGCATGAAGTACTGTATATTGATGCATATTACTTAAAATTCAAGATTACAAGTAATTATGCATAAATAGAACTTATTAAAGCTCCATATTTGAATTTGTCTAACTAAATGCGGATAAACATAATTAAATAGAAGATAAACATATCATTTTAAAATATAAAAAATCTAAAATATAATTAAGATAGTAATCGAATTCTAATAAAATAATTAATTATTATCTTTATAAAAAAATTATACTATTAAATCAAATATAAATTACTTTGTTATTGAATCTAAATTAAAAGTATAATAACAAAACTGAATTAGAAAATTACACAAAAAAATAAAAATTTTAAATAGTTAATTTGATGCTAATATCGATATATTTTTGTCTTTCATAACTTATCCAAGAAAATCATAACCGTTTCATATACAAAATTGCTGGAAAAACAAACAAACTTTGTTTACTAAAAGTTATTAATTGAAAACCCTTATTCAGCTTGTCTGATAACCGAATCGAATTATAACCGAATAATGCAAGGCCGATTAAACAGAACCTTATTTGGTTTGATTATCGAAACCGAATAAATCAAACAAAATAAACCAAAAACCGTCAGAATAACACCTCTACTATTAGTAGTAATTGCTTGAAATCAGTTGATTTCATCATGCTCCTTAGTTTTATCGGGAAAATGAAGAAACATTTCAAAAAAATATTTGGATAAAGAGGACGGAATCCTTGAATTTCTTTTATTCAAACATCAAAAGAAAAAAAAATGCAACTTGGGAGACATAATTGCTGTTGCATGACCTAACAATCTGTGTCAGGTCAAATTTATTATTCACATTGGATGTTCACATGTATATTTGTGTGATTTAAAGAACAGCTTTGTAGAAGCTTGTTTAATTCCATAAAGAGATTTGAATGGTTTGCAGGTCATCGATATTCAAGGTGTTGTTTTTTATCCTTCTATAAAGCGTTTTCACGCCTCTATAAAGAGTCGTCATCTTCATTCTCATTTTTATATAGTTTTAAAAAATCAAACCAAACATAACCGATATTATGCCCTTTCAAATAAGCTAGTAATAGATGGAGACAGGCTTGAATTGGAAGCTATTGCACATTTGTGAGGGACGGTGTTTCGTAAACTTTCACTCTATTTTTATGGAACTCTTAATAATCCATATGCCATATCAAACATGAGATCATTAAGTGCGTTTTTTTCACCATTATGAGCTAAATGGCTTGAAAATTATCTTTAAGATTAGGGTAAAAATAGTCTGATTTAAAAGGGGAAGATCTGGATATCATTTTATAGATGCATTTGTCGATCTTATATATTCCATATCCCAATCCTACCTCCAATTATGATATCATTATAACTCTTGTAAATAAGTGCTATAAAAGACGAAATAATACAATAAAGAAAATACAAAATTCAAAAAGAATACGAACCGGTTTGTTTTCATGTCAGGAAGTGGATATGTGAGGGAATGTTGAGGCCTATGGCAAACACAGTTTCCTTAAGATAGTTAACAAAGATAACCTTAGTTGAGAGTATCAGTAGGACGATACGTATTACATCTTTCACGAATATGTCTATACATCATATTATACCACTTTACTATTGCGGGTTATGCCATCTTATAATCTAGCAATTAGGTTCTTCTTTCCATAGCTATGAGATCATACTCCACACTAACCATGTATTTTAAGGATTTCCAGATTATATTGGATTCCTAGTAAGATCATAGACCAACCAGTTGCTTGAAGTCCTTATAATCTGAAATACAATGTGAATCGCTAAATCCTTCTTCATTCACAGGAAATGCAGAATAAGACAATTTGAACTCATGAGTTTGCCTTGAATATCTTGTGACTAGAATTGTTCGAGTCCTTATTCAATTTGTTAAAGATTCTCGTTGAACAATGCCTTATTCTCTATCATCAATAGAGATGGTGATTATACCATCGTCACCACACAATGCGTTTAACATTTATCTTGCACTAGTCAATATGATTAGACTATATCAAGAACACGTACATGTGTCAGTTAACTCACAATAGCATTGGCCAGATGTAATTATCAATACCTTAGGTATCCAATTTCTAGGATCCTAGTTGTTCTATTTCACTTTTGCATCCCCTTAGCCATCTTCAATGATAACTCGATAAGTGTAACATCAACATAAAGTTATATTACGATCGATAATTTAAATCCATACTTGATCGTGAAACTTTGATGCCCTTGTATTAGAGTTTCATTCAGGTCATACACTTGATAACACAAGTTTGTAACCTTTTACTCATTGACTTGTCACTTTTATTTTTCATCAACGATCTCTAAAGGTTGTTTGATGCCAAATTTATTGGATTTGCATCAAGTCATTATTTGGTTTCAGATTCATGAACAAGGAATTAGTAGGATTACTACGGTTGTATAGTCAATGGAAGCATAGTCAACCATCTTCGTACCGATACTCATTTCCTTGGGCAACTCAACATGTCGTGGAATATTATGAGATGTTTCGGTTACTCATTGAAATGAAGTTTGTTGAACACTATTTGAATGTCTAACAAGATTTATTAAACTTTTGGTTTTAAATCTTGCAGTCCTAATCATCCAAAACGATCTCATAATATAAAACAACAAACTTGATCAAAATCAAAATCAAGTGGAGTTGTTTTTCACAGATGTTTCACTGTCTGATATCTCCATATCATGACACTTTGCAAGCTTCAATATGTACTTCTCACCTTCGATGTATCAGTTGGCAATACAACTATAGAACCTAAAAGCTTCAACACATGAGTTGAGTAGCACAAAGTACTTATCATTGGCAAACTTGCTTGCCGTACAACCAAAACATAAAGAACATCGTTTAAAAAGTTAAAAACTTCCCAATAGAGCATATCAGTTATATTGTTCCAATTGTAATGACCGTCAACCAATACCACATGTTTCCTGGTCATTGTGCAATAGTGTCTGAACTCAAGCTTGACATCGTTCACATCAATGTCACAGAACAAAAAATATTACATGTTCAGATTGTAATTTCAGAACTCATAAAGATATAATATGTAGTCTATGCAAAATTTCAATTGCAAGCATCTCTGCGTTTGGTACACGAATGGGACTGCACAGACAATAGTGAGGTAGCGAGTGAAAGAATCATGAGAGTTTTGATTTCACATGAGCAGTTTAGTAATTTATTAATTTTATCCAATCTTCCTATTTTTGTTCCACCCGTCTTGGTTGACGGTTGTCCCACTCAGTCTTGTCGGGTCCCGGTCTAAATGTCACACCACACGCTTTGGCCAAGTTTTTCTTCTGTTACATCTTGCATAATAAACGCAAACCAAGGGGGTGTTTGCCAAATGCTTATCATGTAGCACTTATAGGCAAGAGTCACCACCCTCACTTACCTTATCGGGCATCAAAATGGATTGTTGCTAAGCGTCTCTTACCTGGTAAGTGTTAACCAGGTAAGAGTCTTCTCACTCACTTATCATGTCAAGTTCTCGGACCTTGCCATTCTCACCAAGCTATAAGTGACACCTTAACCGGTAAGCTTACCCTCTAAGGCTATGGTAACAAAATCTACCAACTTATACGTAGAGCTAATAACCTACTTTCAAAGGCCATTCTGAGAAATTCCAGCTTCAACAAGCATCAAAGGGACAAATTGGGGTAATCATGATTTGTGATTCGACCATTTTCCAATGGAGACACTGAATGTTACACCAAATTTGGTGTAATGAATATTAACACACCAAATTTGGTCACATGCTCACTATCCTTGACCATAAAATAGTAAAGGATGCTTCATTAGGTTTTACACAAGTTGAAATGCCATTTGAGGTTAATGATTAATTGAATACGATCGCAAGATGTATTGCGGTTTATAGTGTTTTAAACACCCTGATAATGTTTTCTACTATTACAGCAAGCAGACAGATAATATCCATGAGATACAAATAAATGGGAAAAGAAATAGAATCAAACCAGATCAAGTTGGCCAGTTTCAATTAGTGGTTTTATTGACTTGTAACGCAGTGCATATATGTCCCCTGCATACATGTCCAATGGGTTTTCTTCTCCACTGTCATTGAAGATGGCTCATGTTAATAAATAGTTGAGTAGTCTTATAACATCGAAAAAAAAAGCAAAAGATTACTTGCCTGTCATCGACTGGGAGAGATCCTAAAAATTTTCTGGTTCTACAGATGACGAATGCATCTAATTTTGGTTCCATGACTGAAATTCATTCAGGGGTAAAGGTCAGACATAAAGTCCATAGCTTGAGGGGATGATAAGGGGAGAAAAGGGGGGGGGGGTCCACACAGTTCATATAGTACATCAATCGAGTGAGAAACACAAAAGTGTTGAGAACCCATGAAAACCAATCTCAACGTTTGTTTCACATGAATTTGTTTCATCTAAAGATGGGATTTAAGGTATTATTTCACAATGCGAAACAACACAGTATGTTTCACATGTATTCATTCACAATGTGAAACAACACATGTTTCACTTGTTCTCATGGTTCTCAACATTTTTGAGGTTCTCATTTGAGATGATGTTGAGCTTACATACATGTACATGGAGACAGTATTTCAGTTCAGGTAAAAAGAAATTACCCATGTCATCCTCTTCACTTATAACAGATTGCTTCAAATGGGACTTGTAACGATCGGGCAATTTATTCGAAACAGATTGCTCTAAATGTTGTTTCATGTCTTCAATGGACCTGAAACAATAGTGATCGGAACCTTTGAGAAATATTTATTGTGTTGTTGCTGGTTGAAAGTCAGATGAAAAATGGCATGTTACCTCTTGGCAAACTTCTGTTCTTCTCTAGACAGCCTAGCCCAAAGATCAGCAGTTTTTTGGATGTGGAACATGAATTTCTCAATCTGTATTTCAGATTCAATTGACATGTAGGCATATTAGGGAGTTAACTAGATGAATACCTGATAGATTTCAGATTAATTGGAAATCTCAATTTAGTAGGTGGTCTAACGAAGAACTTAGCCATGGCCAGATCAGTTGAAAGACAGAAATAGTTCACCCCCATTGCAGGAATTTTCAAAGCTTGGAGTTGGATATCTCATGACAAATAAAGGATCCTAACAATGTTTTCTTTGTCACAATCTAATTATCGCTTCATATAATGAATAAATTATGGAGAAAACAGGCACGACTTTCATCCAACCTTCCAACAGAAACATTGCTCTAAACTAAAGTCTAGAAAATAAACAGAAGATATTTTCCAAAACAAAAGGTATATGCTGAGTACATGTTTAGTTTATGATACCTTCTGAAGACGAGTCCTTAGATATGATCTTAACAAAAACAAAGTCCTATCAATATCCATCTGATAAAGAGAAACAGTAAGTGGGTCTTCACCATTCTTCATGAACTCCTCCACAGTTTCTTCCTGACCATCAGAGAGGGAAAAAAGGGAGAAAGAGATTACAACAGCAAAAGATATTACAGTTGGTCTACTACATTTGGCATGAGTTCTTTAATTCTGTGAAAGAAAATAGCAAATTAACTTTGACTTTCAGGGTAAAAGATAAGAGCAAAATTTGTGGCAGCCACCAAGCTCATCATTTTATTCCATATAAATTAAACACCCCGGAATATACACATTCACTCCAGTATGCAAGTATTATATTTTTTGGCTCCAAGAAAAGAAAAAAACATCGAGTTTTAGGGTAACTTTGGTCATTGGTGGTTGTCATAGACTTGTTCTAAAAGAAAAGGAAGAAAAGACAACCGAGGCTTCCCAGGATAGCAAGAGCAGGGAGTAGTCTTTCATCATTCAAGTCACAAAAGTAACCAAAGGGTCATTGACACAGTGGTTTCCAGGTTACCCACAGAGCTTGGTCCTTCTATAGGTGAAGGGTTCAAGCTCGCCAAAGGAGAGGAGCGTGTGCGTTTTGTGGTATATAAATATTATATACTTCTAAAAAAGTCATGGGAGTAGATCCTCCGATCTCCAAGGCTCACTGGCAAGGACTCTGCTCTTAATTCTTTAAAGTTGACGTGGCTTCTAAGATTTTCAAGATTTATGACAAATAACATAATTTACAAAATTATTTTCAAAATTACCCAAGGTTTGAACACCGCAATGAAAGTACAAAGCTAGCGAAGGACTGGTTCCATGTGATTTCACTTGTTTCAGTCGAAATGACTTCTGATTTAGACTTGAATCTCCATTTTACAGTGATCAGTAACTCCATTTTTACCACAAATCCGAGTTTCTACACCATAAACAGACTTCCAAAGGTAACGATCCACAATATACTATCGACAAAAGACCAATTCAACAGAAAACTAAAAGAAAATCAATTAGCGACACAAACAAATCTTCATGAATTAGTGTTGAACACAAAATTCAAAACCTATGATGAATAATCAATATTGGCAACAACAAAAAAATCACATATGAATGTACGTACCATCAATTGAATTTGTTCTCTGGACCTCTGAACTAAAGAAGACTCAAATTGAAGAATCTCAGGGGCTGCCTTCTCGTTCCGCCATGAACGCTTGAGGAGATCTGCATCTGTCGTGGAAATCAAGGTTTCATAGTCGTCCATGGCCGAGAACCCGCCTGTACCCTCGCCTGAACCGGACTCCATGTGATCTCAACCACAAAAGTAAAGAAACAAGATGTAAAAGCTTTTCTGTAGTGTCGGATTTCAAGAAACTGGACTTCCTATTGAACAAGATGAAATTTAGGGTTTTGGCGCCAAAATGTTAATGATTTATAATGCCATGTTCTCGAATTTAGAAAAAGAGTGAAAAAGAAAAAAGAGAATTTTAGGAAGGAAAGAAAATAAATCTTAAAAAAATTTGTTATTTGTTCGTGTAATGCGACGGAAGCCATGAATTTTAACGATTTTGAAGTTTTAATGGTTTTATTAGATAAGGTTTAACGATAATACAAGTTATGATTGGTCTTTACATGTAAATACAATTTGAATAAATAAAAGTTATGGTTTCAATTATAGTCTATCGATGAAAAAACTGTATAACAATTTAAAATCCAATATACTTAAAATCCAACATATTTAAACGATTCTACAAATGTGTTCGATTTACACAAAGAGCAAATAATCAAGAGATAGAAAACGAGACCGAAAGTTTTATAACAATTGAATGAGAGAACATTTAATAACTTATGATGAATATCAATCTGAATCTCACATTGGGGGATGAGAAAAGACATAGAGGTATGAGATGGTGAAGACATGAGTAAAATGTGTCAAAAGTATATTGAGAACATGAAAAAAAAGAAGATAATAACGTGCATTGATAACTTGTACTATATGTCATTTTATTTGTAGATTAAGAGATTTTAAGACTGAATGTATAAAGTAGTAGTACTTAATGCATTATGAGCTGTTTTTAAGACTTTGTGTATAAATGTATAGTATTTTATATATTAAAAATTGTTTTTAAGACTTTTGATAAATCTGGTTTATAAGGTAGTAGAGATGTGGGGTATTTTGTAAACAACTAAACTTTGGGGGCAAGTTTTAAAAATGTCAACATTAAGCACTCATTGATCACAAAATTCCAATCCAAATTGATCAAAATCACGGGTACCATTGGAAGCAATGTAGCCTCCGCGATTAACAATGCTCTCCGCGGCGCTGCGGTCAGCTTCTGTCTCATCTCTCCCGATTCTTTCCTTCAAACTCAAACCCCCTTCATCTTCCAGTTTCTCTTCTCTCCCATTTCTTCAACAACACCATCACCCACTATGGTCAGGTCTTCAGAGCTGGAGAGACAGCTCTCTCAACCACAACCGCTTCTGGGGATCTTCTGGTCCCGAACCCGAACCCCCAGTGTTGAACCCAGTTGGCCCAGATGAGGAAACCCTACAGCTCGCTTCGCTTACTTCTCTAGCTGAAATGGGTGCCATGGTTTTATCCACCGCTGACCCTTTAAAGAAATCGATGATTTCTCATCTTGCTTACTCTAGGTGGCGCAGAGAAAACCTCCCTATTGGGGTTTCTAAACCACCTGATAGGCCTGCTCGTCCTCCAAAACCCCAATTGGTTCGTTGCTTCTCTTGTTTGAACTTCTCTTTATTCCCATTGCAAAATCGATATTATTTGGAGACCCAAGACCAACTTTTTATTTTATTTTATAATTTTCTTACTGCTTGTTTATAAAGCTTGATTGATGTTTTCAGGATTCTTGCCATAAGGTTTTAGAATTCAAATTTAAAATATGAAGTTGAAAATAGCAGATTCAATGTGAAACTCTCTTTATGATTTCAGTAACTTTTTACTCGTTGCATTTGTGGGTATAGAGTTTTCAATTTCAACCCCAATTCCCCAATATCTTGATGAATTGATAGTGGGTTTTGGGATTTTCTTTGACCATTGCTGTAACTCCTGATGAATATGTTATAGCTTCCTGTTTGTAAAAATGAATGAATTATGATTTGTTGGGAAATAAGCACCACATTGCTTAAAGTTTTTAATTAGATTATTCTTGGATGATAACTTTCCATGTTTCAACAGAAGTATAGCTTAAATTTAGTCTCTTATTTTGTGATAGCCATTTTCCCCTTTTGCTGTATTGTCAAGGTGCTAGCTATCCTATGAATTGCTTCTTGTTACCTATGCATGATGTATAGATGGTCTTCTTAATTGTACATTCAGGTGTCTCCAAAGGAAATCCCGGCTCCAAAGAACTCTGGCTTGCCTCTTAATGCCTATATGCTACACAATCTTTCTCACGTGGAGCTAAACGCAATCGATTTGGCATGGGACACTATTGTTCGGTTTTCACCATATAACGAGCTTCTTGGAGACATGTTTTTTGCTGATTTTGCTCGTGTTGCTGATGATGAGAGTCGGCATTTTGCTTGGTGTTCTCAGAGACTGGCTGAGCTTGGATTCAGGTGAACTATTTTAATACGGGTCTATATTTTTTTTGATAACCTGACTTCAAAATTCCATTTTGCGAATTACCCTTCTCTGCATACTAGTTATGGAGACATGCCAGCCCATAATCTACTATGGCGTGAGTGCGAGAAATCTTCAGATGATGTTGTAGCACGCTTGGCTGTGATCCCACTAGTTCAGGTGATTTCATAACTTGACGGGTGTACGAAGCACCAACATAGATATGATTTTAATGGTTATGTTTTTAAGCACTTTGGTCTGTTATTGTTTATTACTAGTTCTAGTTTTCTAAGTTCTATAATATTAAAATATATTCAATACCATGTTCTTCAAACATTTTTACTAACTAGAACTAAACCCTTGACCGTTAGGGCGGGAGTTGGTTATTGGTCGGCCAAAGATGCTTTTTTGGTTTGGCTATGAACTCTAATTTGGATATTCCATTGTGCAATATAGGGCCAACTTAGCAGCAGAAATAAACACTTCGATGCAAGAGTAGATGCATCTAGATGAATTCATGTTCCAAGGACTTTCAGATCGTATTTGGTTGATGAACTCTATGGGTTATATAGGAGAATATCTGACATATTCTTTTTTAATGCATGACCTTTTGACAGGTTTAATAATGCATCTGCCTAACAGAAGAATGTCTCTTCCTAACACATGAATGCCTTAAAAGTCTTTCAGAAGGTCATGCATTTAAGATTAATTTGTTAGAAGGTTATTCTCCTATATAACCCTGAATTTTATGGTGTTGGTACTATAAGGCAGGCATGCCATTGAACGATGGCAATGCATTATGTTATCGTGCCCTTGTGAAATAACTTTAGTGCTATTAGTAGAATAAGATGGACTTGTTATTGTATAATGTACTTGCCGATTAAGCACTTGCTAGCAAAGTTAAGAGGAAAAATTGATGGGCCTGAACCATTTATAGTATTGGCCTCTTATGTCTTGTATAAAGTATTGGCTCCAAAGGTCAAAAGTACCAGGAGGTCTCAGGTTCAAATCCAAGGAGGAATAAACTCCCCTTGTGGCCACGGAGGTTCAAATGCGGTGACTCCGGGCTATCTGCAAAGCAGATGGTCTCCCTGGGATTAGTCGGCTCGCATAGTGGGTTGGATATCCAGGTTAATCAAAAAAAAAAAAGTAGGCCAAAAGAAGGGTATTGTATTATTTTATAGAACACAATAATATAAAGACTATTATGCCTACTTATTTCCTTTGTATTTGAAGCTTATGAAGTAGCTTTGACACCAAAATCTTGCTTGTGGAGCAAATTATCAAGTTAGAAGTTACGGGATTTATGAATATTTATATTATTGTTATGTTAATAGGAGGCCAGAGGACTTGATGCCGGGCCTCGACTTGTGCAAAAGCTAATCGGCTTTGGAGATTGTAAAACATCAAATCTTGTTGCTAAGATTGCCGAAGAAGAGGTTGCACATGTAGCCGTTGGTGTGTACTGGTTCGTTGCAGTCTGCCAGCAAATGGGTCGCTCCCCTTGTCCTACATTTAGAGGTTTGTATTCACCTTCTTTTCTTGTACTTCCTCCATCCCGAAAGGATGTAAAGTATGATCTTGACAAAAAACTGTCGAGACTATTAATTAAATGTCTAAAATGCCCCTTACATAATAGAATAAGAAAGAACTTTTGAACTACAATCAAATTCCTAATTTCACGTAACAATTACTAAAAGGCTAGTAGTTACGGAGAACAACTCCTCTACTATTTGGGGAAGAGGTCACGTCTGTGTACCTCTTACCTCCCGGATCCACCTTTGAGGGGGATATATTGGGCTTATTTGGTTTGGTTATTGAATGGCTGCTAAAAAGTAGGGAAATAGACCAAATAGCCAATCTCCCCAACCAGCTTCATTTTTAGCCACTTCGTTTTGAACCAAGTTCCCATCTGAGCTTAAGCAAATGCCTTACGCATTTGTGTAGAACCTACTTTTCAGATTAAAAGAAAAAGAAAAAAAATTCTTTATGCAAATGGGGATCCTTAAAGTTTTTTTTTTTTTTTTTGATTAACCTGGATATCCAATCCGCTATGCGAGCCGACTAATCCCAGGGCGACCACCTGCTTCGCCGATAGCCCGGAGTCACCGCATTTGAACCTCCGTGGCCACAAGGGGATTTTTATTCCTCCTTGGATTTGAACCTGAGACCTCTTGGTACTTTTGACCTTTGGAGCCAAGCTCAAACCAATCAGGCACCACCCTTGTGGTTATTTTTTTAACTTTCTTTTGATCTGAAAATCGAGTTTACACAAATGCCTTAGAGTTTACACAAATGCGTAAGACATTTGCGTAAATTGTGGCTAAAGTAGGAATTCAATTGAAAAAGTGGCTAAAAAATGAATTTGGTTGGGAAAATTAGCTATTTTGATCAATTTCACTAAAAAGCATAGTAGGTTTAAGAACTTCCCCAAAAAGGAAATATTTGTGTTTTCTAGACAGCCCGAAATAAGAAAGTTTGGCATTTCTTTTTGAATGAGGGATTGTTTGTTTCAATTTTCTTAGCAGTTTTACACCTTCAAATATTATTCGCATATATCAAATTCTTTATTTTCGATTGTCTTCTTTGATAGACTTGCTGAAAGAGTACAATGTGGAGGTGAAAGGGCCCTTCAATTACTCTGCTCGGGAAGAAGCTGGACTTCCACAGGACTGGTAAGGCCGTACCTTATGTGAAAAGTCATCCCTGCCCCTTGGCCGAGGCCTGAAAACTTCTCGTAGTTGGTTACTAAATGTTACCGTCTCCGTTCCATGAGGGTTATATAGGTACGATCCGTTACAAGGGAGCACATCGAATAAGGAGCAACTCACTAAGGTATGTAGCCCGCATTTACCAAGTCCATGGGAGCAAATTTGTAATTTTAGCCTAAGGGTTTGCCGAAAGACGTTGGAACATCTCCAAATGGGAATTGTTTTCGGTTTTCATGGGATGGAGGAAGTATATTTTAACGAGACTGATATTTCTTATGAATTGTGAAAAACGACAGGTTCATGATAGACTCGCTCATATCATATCCATGGAGAAAGAGAACTCGAATTTGAACAAAGAAGAGTGATCGGCCAACTTTACATCTAAAACCGAGATCAACTTGCAACATCGATGGTTTACAAGCCAAGGTAGTCTTTATCGTATTTTGGGCGCTCGATAGATTGATATATTCGTATATACCATAAATTTAGACAGAAATAGCTTAAAATTCACAAGATCACGAAGCCTATAAGCATCCACCATTGGCATACATAGGGTAATTGCACACAAATAGATCAAACTTCCTTTTGGAGTATCTACTATTTATATACTGCAAATTAAACTCACGCACACTTGGTGAGACTTTTAACCCCCGAGCTCTAGGTAGGTGGGTTTACCAGGTACCACCGGACCAATAGAAACATCGAGACCTTACTTCTTTTCGTTTTGGCCATCCAACGTGCTTTGGGAGACATGGGCCCCATCTTCATTCTCGTCCTCGTCCTCGTCCTCGTCTTTGTTCTCATTCTCGTCCTCATCTTCGTCTTCCTTCTTCATCTGGTCCTCATCTTCGTTCTCGATCTCGTCCTCATCTTCGTTCTCGATCTCGTCCTCATCTTCGTTCTCGATCTCGTCCTCATCTTCGTTCTCGATCTCGTCCTCACTTTTGTTCTCGATGTCGTCCTCGTCTTCGTTCTCGATGTCGTCCTCGTCTTCGTCTTCGTCTTCGCGTTTAGGATAACCCTTAAGCTCATGTAACTTCCAAGATCCGTTGGGCATTTGAATCATCCCTTTATTTTCCTGAACCCACCAGTGTTGAGGTATCATATACTCTTCCTTCAACAAATTGGAACGCTTATTCACGAGTGCAAGATCACGATCGACTTCCAATCGGAACTCGGCCTCAATACCGTGTGAGCCCGCAAGAGCATGCAAATATGCGGCCTCCATATTATGCCGTTTGGCATAGCTTTCGGTAGGTTTCAAGTACTTTGACTTTCGGGTATCAACCCATAATTCTTGACCAATATGTATGTACCCCACGAATGGGGGTAAAAGTGGTATGTAGTCGATTACATTCACAACTCGTAGGATATTAAGCTTTTCTTTCTTGTGCAGGAGTTCACGAAGACATATGTTGCCGAGGAACGGGTTTCCATATGCGAAAACTGTGACAGGAATCGTTTTTTTGGGTCGAGATTTGGTCTCGTTGTAGCCGTTGATTGCTATGTCGCCGCCACTTAGTGTCGCTAGCGCCCCACCTAGACTGTGGCCGACTACTGTTATGCTCGTTTCTTCGTCCTTGTATTTTTCGACTAGCTGTCGGACCATCGACAAAACCTGAAAGTTTTCATGGGTTCGTTATGGAAATGATTTGACTTAAACCATTTACTTGGTTTTTCATTGTAAAGAGATCATCGTTCTCAATAGTAACTAAGACAAACTTCGTTACATTTTGATGAATTTTGTTCTTGTTATAACTGTTACTTACTCGAGTATGAGACTTACCTGGTCTCGAGCACTGGTTTTGTTGAAACGAGATCGAGAATTACTGGATGTATATATCGAAAGATACCCTGAATGCACTTGAGCACATATTGATTGCTTAAACACCTTCGATGCCGACACCAATGGGAAATCAAAATTCTCGACCCATTCCGCTATCTGTATCGTCCCTCGCCACGAAACCAAGATATCTCTCCGCCCTAACAAACGCTTCCCTCGGTCTGTAGACACAGCAACGTACCCCATCCAATTCGACTGCCCCAACCACGGATCCTTCACAAGAGATTTCAAAATGTACGACTGAGGAGAATCGGGAGACGTAGACGTGGCGTAAATGTACTTGACGATCCTGTACTTTATCGGGTTGCCCTTATCGATGCCGACTTCTGAAAACATTTGTTTTTTCGAGAATTTGCTCGCACCCGTGTATCTGGACTTGCGGTCCACAACAAACGTATCGTAGTTGGCCTGAACCCTTTCGCCGTAATGAATGAGGTAACGCCTTAGGTCGATATCCAGAGGTCTTAAAAGCGAGTTCCATTTATCTTCGCCGCTCAATTTTCGCCACTTTTTTGCAAAACTGCGTCCCGGCGGCATCTTGTTCTACGTGTTTATCTTCTTGAAATGAGCACGAAAATATAGAGTACGAAGCGAATTTTAAAACCGAAGGAGTGAATCACGCAAATGTTGTGTTGTTACAAAACTTTGTTACGTATACGAGAATAAAAGTTATAACAATACGCAGAAGCGGAACCAAAAAAGTTTTTGAAAGATGTCACCATTGAAACGTAAAGGTCAAAGCTATACAATTGTTTTACAAAATCGTAATAAAAGCAAAATGAATTTTTTTATTTTGAATGATTAAGTACTTATTTTTTTTTGAATGAATAAATTATTGAACTTTCTTATTTTGAATGATTAAGTATCTGAAAAAGAAACCATTAAACTTTTAGAAATTGGTTACATGCATCATTTTAACTGAACAAACTATATGTAACTGGCTAAAAAATGTTTTAAAGTAAAAAAAAAACATAAACCGGTTTATTATTATCAAATTCTACGCCATTTAAACCCGCACCCAACACCATCCACTACTAAAAAATAGGGTTTTTCCGACGGCAAAATCCGTCGGAAATCCGTCGGAAAAACAACTTTCCGACGGATTTAGCCGTCGGAAAAACCCCCGCCGCTAAATGCCTTTTTTGACGGAATTTCCGACGGATATGTCCGTCGGAAATCCGTCGGAATTTTTTTTCATATATTAGTAATTGTCCGGGTTAATTAGAAGTAATCTAAAACGGGATTTAGATTTTCCGACGGATTTCTGACGGAAATTCCGTCGGTAATTATATTTTAATTTTTTCTAACTTATAATATGAAAATATTTTTATTTTTATTTTTTTCCGACGGAAATTCCGTCG